ATGGACGTATTTTTTTTTTTTTTTCTTCTTCTAAGTTATTGTGATGGAAACTGATCTCCAAATATTTGAGGTATCTCTCCAGTGCTATATATCTTAATCAAGATCTTTGCTATCTCCTCTATAACCATTTTTCCATGACAGTGTATTTCTAACGAAACGTGGTGCCGTCGATGAGTTTCGCTAAGTTTATTTTCTGTCCAACATTTTCAACATCATTATTCTGTCTGACCGGGGCCCCGTCATTTTATTCACATATATTTCTTCTGCCTCTTCTATCATTTTATAAAGAAAGATATAAAACGGAACGAAAAGTATGTCAGCGAACTTTACAATATAACAAACAAAATCAAAGGTTAGTTGCGTATCCTTTACAGGACGTTGCAGAACCAACCCCAGCAGCCCCTGGCTGTTGTGTTGTTTCTCTAAGCAAATTTACGTCCAGTAGTTTGCCATTGCTTTCTGGACAACCAAATCAAAACTGCAATTTTATATGGGCCTCGAGATTTAAGGCCCATTGGCTAACGCAAGCATCACGAGTTGTAGAGATTAATAATTGATTTTCTGTTGCCCCCGACTGAAATTGTAATTATATCTTTTAATTCTTTTCGACGATCATGCCGGGTCTCACATAGAAAAGCCTAAACCACCGGTTGACCCTTACCCCCTGCCATTCCCAAAAAGTATACCCTACATAAGCCTTATTGCCGTATTTAATTTTTGTTTTAGCCGATCCTAATGTTCACACACACACCAAGTTTTTTTTTTTTTTTTTTTTCTAGCTGCTCATGATATTTCTCAGTATTTTCTCAAAAAACGCATTTCTGATGTTATTGTATGTTTGTGTAAGTGTGATATTGACAGTGATCATGTTTGGTATTGTTATCAGAATGTTGGAAATGAAAATGCTACTTATTTATAATCGGTTGCGTTGTGAAGGTTTATGTCTAAATTCGACATTATCTGAGAGGTATTTAGAGAAGCTCCTTGTTAAATATACTGAACAGCAGAAAGTTAAATTAGTTTGGTATCTTCTGAATATGCAACAAAATAAGACGTCAACACAAGCGTAGCACATAAGAAGAGCGGAAACTAGAGCATGAGGGCGCAAACAAAAAAAAAAAAACGAGAGAACGGATTTTATTATTCCCATCATACCTTCACAGAAAAAAGTCACCCACTGAGAGATGCACAATCAACTATTAATCCTCAGGAGGCTTGATTAACAGTTTTTAAGCTTCTCTGCTTACTGGCTTTGCTGTGCATTCATATATTTTTAAATTGTAATTACTTTATTGTCGTGTCACACTCATTTACTCACTACAGTTAACAACAGTTTGAATTTTTTTTTTTTTTTTTTGGGGGGGGGGGGGGGGTGTGGGGGGGGTGAGGGTGTAAGGGAAAGGGCATACAAATACATGCGGCAGAATGAAGAAGACTAATCTTTATGACAAAGATGCTGATGTTGATGAGATCATCTGTAACTGTGACTATAATGATGATGATGATAGTGACGATAACAGCGATAATTATAATGATGAGAACTGACGATACAAACGATGAAAAAGATAAACAAATCACATCTAGTACACACAAAAATCACAAAACAGCACTTCTATGAATTAAATTAACAAGCTGAATTAAAATAAATTTTAGTTTTTTTAAATTCAATGACTTAAAATTTTACGAAAAGTTGTATTCGAAGGAAAAACCTATAAAACCGACACAGTGCTATATTGACTTACAGAGGTGACGTCATAACACTCGGGTAAATCCCACAAAAACCTCGAATACCGTATAGTGGATCGAAGTGTGTGGATGTCAACTACTGCTGTATTTGTCACCCTATCAGTCAGCTGTATCGATAACTTGATTTTTTTTTTTTTTTCACATTAGACGATACAATCAGACCATTATCCCCTCCAAACTCCACTCCAAACATCTGAGCACACACTGCAGAACTGCCGACTACAGAAAAAAAACCTGTGCGAAAACACTTGGCCGGGTAGAGGAGGCAAATAGGCGCACTTCGGGGGAACCGTTAGAGACTTGCTGTTGACGTGCCGGTTTATGGGTGCAACACAAGTGATAACCTGAGCATATGAAGCCGATCGCGAAAAAGACGTTTTCACACACACCCACACACACACGCACGCACACGTTATCATATACAATAACTCTTTGATTCTAGACCCACATAAATTACTCTTGAAACTGAAAGCCACGAAGGTAAATTGAAAACAGATGCACTAAAATTACACTAAGACCAGGGTAAAATACACTTAAAACAATGGACGATACATTACACATCACAAAACAGAAACAGTATTAAGATTCTAGTGGCCGTAGCTGAACACATGCAAGTATGATGAATGAAGCGCTGAAACGAGCAGCACGCAATATTAGCAGCCAGTATCCATAAACTCGACCCCCAGCTCGAGACCTTGTGTGTATGTCGCGAGTGCAAAGATGTCGTTTCTGCATATTATTAGCTTAAGGCACCCTTATACATAACTATTGCAACACACATATACACCAAGAATAAACAGCACCACTACTGGACATAGAAACCGGGACCAGGCGACTCTGGCATATTTTCAGAAATGACATTGGCATCCAAGTCGACCCAGCCTTAAATTGGTACCAGATAGAGTCCCGGGAAGTAAAAGTGGTCAGCATGATATTGATCACAACTCTTACTGAGTGCCGGTTGGTCTATATAATGAAGGTCTAGCCCATATACCCAGTACGGCTGAAGGCATGGAAAAGTGTCCTTTAGTCTAACTAATCAAGGCTAAATCCCTCTGAGTGCCCCACCTTAGACAATTGTTTTTTTTTCCTCATGGCAGTCAAAGGGGCTTAAAGAGCCTTCGCTTTATGTAGCTGCATAATTAATAATTGTTATTACTATTGTGCAATTAAACAAAGATTGGAGTCGCCGTCTATAGAAAATTACTGCGGTGGGCTGGGGTGGGGGGATAGAAGCCCTCTCCCCCAACCCCAGTGTCTTCTATGTGGCGTCACACCTGCTACTGGACTTTTTTTAAATAAAATTATTTGCGTATCCTTTACAGGACGTTGCTGAACCACTCCCAGCACTTTCTGGCTGTTGTGGTTTTTCTAGGCGAATTTACGTCCAGTAGTTTGCCATTGCTTACTGGACGGTCGCAAGACAGACCGTCCGCAGCAGGGATCGAACCCGGCATCCCGACATTACAAAGCGTGTTCGCAACGCTTAAGCCACAGACGCCGACGCTACTGGACTAGTATATGTATTATTTTAAGCCCCCCTCCCCCTTTTGTTTCAACGCCCATAAACAACTCGTCTCCGTCACTAACCGTCGATTAGAGTGAAGTGGTTAAATATTCCAGGGGATAAAACAAATCTGGACACACGGTTTGTGTATGGTGGGTTACAATATAGCGTAAAGTCGCAGTGATTTAGTTTGAAAGTTACCACTGCTGGCAATATCACTGGGATGAAGATTTTTGATGTGGTTAAATATCCCAGGGGATAAAAGTAATCCTGACATAGCGGAATAGCAAATACAAAGATCATAAGGATACATGCAGTGTTTTGCAATCATAATCTGAAAATGAGTACACCGGAGAACATGGCGACACCTGAAAGTAATAGCTGCAAAAGAAGCAGACATAAGAAACGCATATTGGATGGTATATGAAGGTGATGTAGGAGTATCTATAAATGTAACAGATCGCAAGCATCTAGAACCGAAAAAAGCACACAACGAATTTTAGAAAACGTATTTTCCGGCCATCTGTGATCTCATCATGCTAGACGCTACCAATGAATCTGAGGGAGGGGGTTAAGAACCCTCACCCGCCTCATAATTATTTTCTGAACGGGGTTCAAGGGACTTAAGCCTTGTTTAAGTGCCCAATGTTGTTATTTTCATTATGTGCTAAATGGCACAATTAGATTATAATATATTTTTAAAAATATAATTTGAATGAACAATTGCTTCAAAAAGAAAACGTATGTGCACCGTTACAGCGACCACTTATTTCACTTATAATTTTTCTAATGGTGGGGAATCAGCCCTCCTAAGCTTTATTAGACGGGCTCCTCCCCCTTTCCCCTCCCCCTCTTTCCTCCGGTCCCCTATAGAAACAGTTCTGGGTTGATGGAGGGGGAAGGGAGCTCAAGGTGCCAGAGTCCCTATCTTAAGGCAGCTTCCATAGGTTTATACCCACTCTACTAAATGCAAAAAGGAAAGCTGATCATCGTCACCTGTGATAAACGAACACCATCACAACATAGGAAAGGCAAAGATCCCCAGTGAAAACAGAAGTCCAGGATGACTACAATGAAACCAGAATGTAAGAGAAGATTATAATGTAATGAGAAACTGCCAAAAACACTCTGAAAGTTAGATCCATTTTCCTTACACAACATAACAAACCAAATCCAGCATTTTATAAACTAACTGCATATTGTTTTACAGGGCAATTGTTACGTTCATCATGTTCCGTTTACAAACACAGCTACTGGGTGACTGCCTCTTTATTCTGGCTTTGTTATGAAAAGAGGTTACCGAAAAATGCTACGACCACTGGAATGATTTGTGAAAACAGAGTTTACAATTGAACGGGAGAAGATTCTTGAGACTCTTTAGCTATGGTAGATCTGGAGGAGTGTGAATACACAAGATGATCATCGCTGTCGGAAAATCGCAAGTTGTGGAGAGTCATGATTCTAACACCTCCAACCCACCCCACCCCCCCCCCCCCCACTCTTAGTGTTTCTCCCTCTCACGCCGGTAAGGCAGATAGTTCATGATAACAACGTTTGGTCACCTCCTGATTTTAGCGATAAGTTGTCTTTGGACTCTCGAAACTTTCAAAACACCGTGGTACTCTCTTATGGAAGTTTAAGAAATGCTACATTAAAAATACGCTGTGTTTTAAACCATTAAAAACAGTAATACACTTTACCAAAATATGTGGATTAAAAAGTGAATAAAACATAATGGACTTCTTACCTGCACAGACATACAAGTGTTCTCCTCGCTCGCCTTCCCTGATGATGTAGCAGTTCTTGGCCAACTTCTTCTCATACATGCAGTCAATGACCTCCCGTAACTGTGTGGCCGCCAGAACCTTGATAAACTCATTACTCAGCAGTGCGTCCTTAATGAGCTGCTTGGACCTGTGCGAAGACCAAAAACAAGACGTTGAATTTACTGATGAAATCGTGCCTTTTATGGTAATGAATATATAATTTGTGACATAGGTAAGCATCTGTTAAAGCTACGTCTGCATATTATAAGTTGTAATTACCAACGAGGTGGATTACTTACATTGCCATTGGGTTCTCAGGTCGACCCTGCTTCTTCTTCTTTCGTTCGCCTGAAATAAGTTGTCTCTATCAATTTTGTCTCTCGTATAAATTTTAGTCTTCTATTGGTCTATAGAGATTACTTTCCACTGTTGTGCAATATATCTTTGTCATTGAAAGTTAGAACAAGAATTTTTGTTTGCTACAAACATCCAGTTTTAACATATGGCTGTGAATCCTGGACAATTGTTAGGCAGGCCAAACAATTTCTTGAGGCCTTAGAGATGTGGTTTTACAAAAGAAGGCTTAGAGTTCCTTGGACAGCTAAAAAGAGCAACTAAGAGGTTTTGAAAGAGGCGGGAGCCCGAAGACAACTTATCACAGACATCAGGATACAGTCATTATTTTTCGGTCATGTTATGTGAAGAGGGAAAATAGAACATGTTGTGACCACTTGAAAGATCTGTGGAAGGAGGGATAGAGGAAGACAAGGAGAGAAGATTCTTGACAGTCTTGTTGCATGGCATGGAGGTGTGTCGGCACACAAACTGATACATGCTGCAGGAGATCGTAGATTGTGGAGAGGCATGATCGCCCACGACAGTCGGCCAGGCACCTGATGATGATGATGATGGTTTTTCCTAGCCAACAAGTTTGCCTCAATGTGTTAAAATTCAGTGAAATCCTTGAGTACATGTTCTGCTGTCTGTGGAACCTCTCCGCAAGGTCCACATGGCTGATACACCTATCTTGAATTTCTGGTACATGTGGTTACGTAATCGATTTGCCCTGTTCTGAAGCGAAGGATTATGACATGTTTTGATCCGTCCATAATGAAATAATTGTCTTGTGCTAAGGCTGGTTGTTTTTTGGTTGATTTACTGACAATTTTGTTGTTTAGGGTATGCAACTGGTACATCCGGTTAAAAACTGGTACATGGAAGTGTTCTAGAAATACCTGTGTGATACTAACCAGTATTATCTCTTTGAAGAGATAATATGCACATGCGTCACATATGGTCTTGCAGTTGTCTCCCACACTCCATTCTTTTAATTACAGTTTGTTTCGATACCGTGTACGGATGCTACACAAACTTATTTGGCATCCCTCATCCCCGTTTGTCGTTAGGTACCCCCCCCCCTTTCCCCCCCTCCCCCTCCCCCCCCCCTTTTTTTTTTAAATGCGAAGCAAGAATAATAATGTTATGTACTCTTTTTCTTTTTTTTCTTCAAGTTTGAAGTATGAACAACAAGTGAACATCATGGCACACGGGTAGTAAACCATAAGCGCTCCGTTCTTCTTCTAGCTTAACTCTGAGTCCGAAGAAGCCCAGCACAGTGCACAGGCTCTGTAGCACCAGCGAGGATCCTGAAATATGTGGGTAGATTAACAGTATAGAGTAAAAGTTGGTCCTTTACTGCACTTTTTTCCGCACAGGAATAACACGTAAAAGTAACTGCTCTGAACTCAGAAAGCTAAACATTCTAATAGCGTGTTCTTTGTCTAGAGTGCGGATAAGTAAGTAAAAAAAAAGTAAAGATCCCTTTACACGCCCTTAGGCGCATCGGGCATATGGGAAGAGCACCCATATTTTTACAGACCAATCGGCACTCAGTGGTAATGTGGTCAGCATTACACATGTAAAAACATAAACAAAAGAGAACTCTCATTTTCTCAGTGTTGTGTAGGAGTTATACATCTTTAACCATTAGAAACGCCGTGTGTCACCGGAGCCCTCAGGGGAAGCAAAGAATAGTGACACTGCACCCTACCAGGCATGTCGTAGGAGGCAACTGAGGGTAGGGTTGGGCTTGGGGTTTGCTACCTCATCCTGTGAAAACCATAGCCACAAAAACCAACCAACCATGGATAAGTCAAAAAGAGAAATAAGTAAAACCCAGCCAACCAAGATGAGGGGAGGGTTTTCAAATAGAAGAAGTATGACTCGTTGTGGAGAAAGCCGTAAGGAGTCCGGATCGTCGACGTACCTTCTCTCAGCTAGGAAAACCTCCAGAATTGGCACCTGGAATGTTAGAACTCTCTATGATATGGGGAGAACAATGGAAGTAGCAAAGGAAATGAAACATTATAGAATTAGTATTTTAGGGTTATGTGAAACTAGATAGACTGGGGCGGGGGAAATTATTCTAAATTCAGGGGAAACTATTTTGTTCTCAGGACACACAGAGGAAAATTCGCCCCACAGAGAAAAAGTGGCCCTTATGCTATCAAAAGAAGCAGACAGGGCACTAATAGAATGGGAAGCTGTGAGTCCCAGAATAATAAAAGCATCTTTTAGAACAGTGAAACAGAAGGTGAATATGTCGGTAATACAGTGTTACGCACCAACAAATGATAAAGATGCATCTGTTAAGGAAGAATTTTACATGCAGCTTCAAAATATTATAAATAATGAAAGAAAGTTCAATTAAAAAATTTTGATAGGTGACCTGAATGCTAAGATAGGATCAGACAACACAGGTTATGAAGACATTATGGGAAGACATGGTCTAGGAGTAATGAATGAAAATGGAAAATTGTTCACAAATTTTTGTGCAGGTAACCAGTATGTTATTGGTGGAAGCATTTTTTCCCATAAAAGAATACACAAGGCAACATGGGAATTACCAGACCATAAGACAACTAATCAAATCGATCACCTATGTATTAACAAAAAGTTTAGATCATCCCTTTACGATGTTAGGGCTTTCAGAGGTACCGATGTATTTACTGACCATTTCTTGGTGTTAAGTAAAATCAAGTTAAAAATAAAAAGATATATAACATCTTATAATCATAGAAACTAATATACAGTAGGTTATCTCAGGGATAAAGAAGTTAAGGAACAGTTTTCAGTTACAATCTCTAATAAGTACTAGGTGTTGCAGCAGTTAGCTGAAGATGTCAGCACAGAAGTCTGCTGGGATCAGATCAAAGGAATCTGGAATGAATCTTGCGTAGACGTATTTGGCAAGAAAGAAAGGAAACATAAAGCGTGGATAACACAAGAAACCAATAAACTGATTGAAGATATGAAAAGTAAAAAGGCAGACTTAAACAATAGTAAAACTAGAGCTGCTAAAGCTAGAGCTCAGGATAAATACACAGAAGCCAATAAGGAAGTTAGGAGGCATATAAGGGCAGATAAAGTGAAATATCTAAATGATCTAGCACAAGAAGCGGAGACAGCAGCAGCAAAAGGAAACCTCAGAGAACTTTAAAATAACACAAGAAAATTAGTAGGTAAACATAGTCAGCCAATTGGATCAATCAAACATAGCCAAGGAAAGGTACTTAATAACACTTAAGATCAAATGGAGAGATGGGTTGAAAATTTCAAAATGCTTCTAAATAGACCAGGTCCAGGGATTCCCCCAGATATCCAGCCTTTAGAAATGGAACTGGATATGAACTGTGAGATACCATCCAAAGAGGAAATTAGAGAAGCTATCAATCTTCTCAAGGAAGGAAATGCGGCAGGCCCAGATGGTATTCCAGCTGAAGCCATCAGGGCCAACATAAACACATCAACATAATTGCTACATAGATTATTCAGTAAATTCTGGGAGACTAAAGAAATACCAGAAGACTGGAGAGAAGGATATCTTGTGAAATTACCCAAAAAAGGTGATCTATAGAAGTGTGAAAACTATAGAGGAATTATGTTGCTGTCAGTTCCTGGAATAATATTAAGTATAATTATTTTGGAAAGATTAAAAGATGCTATGGATAAAAAGCTAAGAGATGAACAGGCAGGTTTTCGGTCAAACAGATCCTTTACTGACCAGATGGCCACATTACGTATTATAATAGAGCAAAAGCATTGAACTGAACTCACCACTTTACTTTGGATTTATAGACTATGAAAAAGCATTAGACAGCATTGATAGGAAATCTCTCTGGAAATTGATGGGGCACTATGGAATCACACAGAAAATTATTAACGTAGTAAAGGCAACATATAGAGACATGAAATGGCGAGTTTTTCGTGAGGGAAAGCTAACAGATACATTTGAAATAAAAACAGGTGTGCGACAGGGATGCCTTTTGTCCCCTGTCTTATTTTTTAACTGGCTATAGACTGGATTATGAAAACAGTAACTGCTAACACCAAGAATGGAATTCAGTGGACCCCTACAAAACAGCTTGATGATCGGGACTTCGCTGATGATATTTCTCTTCTGTCCCATTCACGGAACCAGATGCAAGATAAAAAAATATACTTGATGCGAGATCACAGCAGCTTGGTCTGAAAATCCATAAAGGAAAGACAAAGATAATGAGAAAAAATCAGGCAAATAGTAATGTGGTTTCCCTTAATGGCACCCCACTCCAAGACGTGGAGTCGTACACCTATTTGGGCAGTAATGTAGATAAAGAAGGAGGAACTGATGGAGATATTAAAATAAGAATACAAAGGGCAAAAGGAGCTTTCATAGCACTAGTGAATTTGTGGAGGTCAAAAGAAATTAAAAGAAATACTAAACTAAAAAATTTTAATATCAACATCAAATCAGTACTTTTGTATGGGGCGGAAACATGGAGAACAACTAAAGCAGTTACTAATAAACTACAAACATTCATTAACTGGTGCCTGCGCAGAATAGAAGGAATTAAATGGTATGATAGAATAACTAATGTAGAGCTTTGGGAGAGAACTAAACAGGTTCCTGTGGACCAAGAGGTGAGGAAACGACGCTGGCGTTGGATAGGACACACACTGAGAAAACAGGAGAACAGCATAACTAGAATGTCTTTGCACTGGAACCCACAGGGGCATAGGAATAAAGGAAGGCCAAAAACACATGGAGAAGAGAGCTGTAGAATGAAGTTAGAAAGATGGGGAGGACATGGGGAGAGCTCCATGCGA